GCGCCAGGCGTCCGGGGCGCGGACGCGCGGGGCGGGCCTTCACGGGGGTGGGCGTGGAGCGCGACTGACGCACCACCTGACCAATGGGCATGCCCGCATGCAGCCCGCCCGGCCCGGGCCGGCCAGACAATGGAGGAAGACGGCCTGGAGCTACTCCGGGCTCACAAAAGTACACCCACTGAGCATGCGCTGCGGCCCAGGGCCTGTCGGGACTTGTAGTCCGCGAGCCAGAGCTGCAGCGTGGGCGGCCGGAGATAGGCTTTGGAGGGGGCACTGCGTATTCCCGAACTTGAAAGACTCTTTTTCCCTCCTCTAGCGAGCAAACGACATGCACATTCAGGTAATGAGACAATCCTGTCCCGACAGTCCTGTCCCGAAAGGGGTAGGAGAGTTCTGATTGGTGCAACTCCCTGGCCTCTCAGCCTCAGTTTTCCCATCTAAACCATTTGGCCCAATATTTTACCAGTTTCGCGGGACACCACTTTGTTCTCCAGTGTGCCAAAACACCTACCGACTTGCTTTTTGCCCTGGCTGTGTTGCCAGTCCCCAGGAAGGCCATCCTCAGCCTCAACCCCCTTGAGAACTTCTACACATCCTTCAGGCTCTGACATAAAAGGCTCTGTGTGGCAGCACAGGGGATGCTTAGGAGTGCCATCAGCCAAAGAGAGGGGCAGAGACCCAGCAGAGAGAAGAGGCCCTTCCTCAGGAGGTGGCAATTGGGAAGGTACAGAGATTGGATTGGGGCTTTTCCAAGATGGGAGAAGGGCCTCCCCTGCGCTGAAAACAGTGTATGAACAAAGCTGTACCCTGCCTCCATTCTCTTGGGGTCAATTGACTTGTGCCTACCCACCTCTCAGGCCTCTTTTTCTCATCTGGACAGTGGCCTCTAGGCTGAACCTTTCCTTCTAGGCTGAGGATAGGCTGTCCTAGGCTCAGGACTGGGCAGGTCCAAGGTCCCAGAAACTTAGGTGAGGCAGGTGGACCAGGCCCCAGTCCCACCAGCGGTATCAAGGGTGGTAGTCCTGACTTCTGACCCCCAGAGGCAGCTGTCAAACAAAAGAGGCCTGGCTGCCCCTCTCCACCCAGGTCAGCACTGCTCATCCCCTTCCCTGAAGTTGGAGCTGAATCTGGAAGAGGGCTGGATGGGGAAGGAAGATGGTGAGAATGGGAAAAATGTTAAGAACAACAAAGCTTTAAGGCCCAATGTGTGGCAGGCACTATTCAAAACTGTTTCCTGGTTTCAACTGATGTAATACTCTCAACAGTTCTGTGAAGGAGGCAACAGTATCATCCCAGTTTTACAGATGAGGAAGCTAAGACAGATGGGCAAAGGCAAGAGGGACTTTGACCTGGGTTGTGTGCAGAGCTGGCTGGACTGAGATGGGTCAGACCCCTCAAACCACTGCTCATCCCACGCTCAGTACAGGCAGCTCTGAGGCCTGGGTTCTGGTACCTGTCCTGCCATCCACTGGCTGAATGACAGGGCCTTAGTTCCAGTTGCTTCTTCCACAAAATGAGGGCTTCACACAGGGAAGTGTTAAGAATTTGCTAATTCATATCCCAACTTCACTATTTAAAAGCTGTGCAGCCTGGAACAAGTTACTTAAGCTCTCCATACCTCAGTTTCCTCATCTGTAAAAATGTGGATAATACTAGAACCTACCTGAAAGGATTGTGAAAATGAAATGAATTAGTACGTCTAAAGCCCTGAGAATGTGCCAAGCAGACACGAAGAACTATGTGAGTGTTAGCTGTTACTAGAGTTCTTACTAATTGCCATTTGAGTTTTTCTTTATCACCCTGGGCCAGTCCCTACACTTCCTCAGTCTCCATTCTTTGAAATGGGGCTTAGTCATTAGGCAGTAAGCAACCATGCCATCCCCATCCCATCCCCACCGGCAGCTCACAATCTAGGGAGTGAGACAGAGCTGAGTGGAGACCATAACCACCAGGAGTTTGCTGTGTTAGGGGAATCTTTTGGGGCTGTGGGAGCCCAGCAGAGGCATTTGGCCCCAAAGCAGGTGGCCTGGAGGGAGGGGGCACTGTTCAAGCTGAGCTATAACAGGTAGAAAGGGCTGGGGATTAGAGAAGGGTCTCCTGGCAAGTCGGTGTTCCCAAATGGTCAGAACTACCCTCAACACTTGTTAACAATACAGATTCTAGGTCCATCAAATGTAAATGCTTGTGGATGGGGCCCCAGAAACTAGATTTTAAACCAGGCCTTTTCCAGGTGACTCTGAGGCCCAGCTTGCCCCAATCCAGTCAGATTGAAGGGGTTTAAATAGGTACACTGAGGTACAAATGAGTAAACTGAGACCCGGGCGGACAGGCCCAGCCTGTCCATACAGCCGGCCAGAGTAAAGGAATGGCATCTGGGAGGGGACCATCTCCCAGGTTGGAGGGTCTGTCTCTCCCCATGGTAGCCCAAGGCAGCAGGGCCAGGCCCCAGGCCAAGTCTGCTCATTACTTGAAGCAGGAAACTGACACTCAGGGGAGCCCAAGCAAGGGTGAGAACACAGGGTCTTCAGTGATCTCAGGTGCCCCCACACCTATCTTGGCAGATGTAGGAGACAGGAGGATGCTTGAGTGAGCAGCACTGGAAGGAAAGCTAGTTCCTTCTTCAGACTTGGGTCAACCTCAGGCCTGGGAGGAACTACTGCTTTCTTGGGTGGGGTGGCCTCTTCCACTACCCTCCTCCTCCTAGGCCACCCTAGGGCCCTACCCTAGCTGTGAGGTAGAGCCCAAGTTTGGCTTCAAATCCCAAGATATCCCCTTGCTAGCTGGGCGACCTCAGTTAAGCCAATTGTCCACATTGGGCTTCAGTTGCCTCATCTGTAAAATGTAGTAAGGACTAAATGAGATGATTCAAAATAGGAGTTGAGCACAGGGCCCTGCAGGGTCTGTACCTAGTGAGGCCAGTTATTTTTAGGACTCTTTCTCCAGAACATGCTGTGTCATCGTTCTTCACATGTATCAGACAAGCTTCTACCTCAGGACCTTTGCACTTGCTGTTTCCTTGCCTGGAACGCTTTGCCCCTAGATTTTCACTTAGCCAAATCCCTTACATCCTTTTGGTCTTGCCTTAAATGACACTTGTTCCAGGAAGCCTCCCTGACTTCTCCAT